GATGAAAGCATTGAGGAAAAAAAAGATTAAAGCTTAATACATTCCTGAGAGGGAATGGGTTTGCTTCTGCAAGTGGAGGAGGCACTGAGTTTGAAAAGATTTCTCTTTAATGCTGACTCCCTCATTTTATGTTACTTGGGGGGTGGAATATTCATGGTTTTCTTGGAAAAGGGTGGAAAATTCCTGAAATTGGGAACTGTCCCCCTTTCTGCCTTGTAAGGCAGTTTCCAGGGGTTGCCATGATATTTGTAAATTGTCATGGTGCTAGTGGATGATTTTTACTATATTGTGAGGGTAGTTGATTTAGGGACATGTTACCTCAACTGTGTGCATGCTCCAAAGACCCTCTCTTGAGGCCTTGATGGTATCTCTACTTTGTGGTTTCTCTACCTGTGTCTGATTGGTCAGTCCTTGGAGACCCCCTTGACATGTTATCTGTTCTTTCCAGGGAGCCACATCCCAGGAGTCCTAATCATGTTGTTCTTAAAACAACCCAAGTCAGAATGACCTTATCTGTCTGTCCATGTCAGTCTCGGAGGCATTAGTCAGTCCCCCCAAACAACCAGCTCCTCGAAACAACATACTTGCAGGGTCTTAATTATGCCTGTTCCTGTAAGAACAACTCAGACCGCCCTGACCCAGGCCCACACAGAGTACCCTAACTGCATCCACTGTCCATCCTGTCCATGTCTAGCTAACATGAGTTGGGTTGACCCAAGTCATGGGAGAGTGACAAGAAATGGATTGGGAACATGATTGTCATAACATGCAGATAAAGTCTCTTACGTAATAGAAGTTACCTTCTGGTGAACAACCTTCCTGGTACAGAAACTTACTAAGGTAGAATTCCTTTACAGATGTAAATTTCTTCTATGAAGGACAGCTTTTCAGAACAACCTAAAATATACCAACGTGTATTTTGGTATAGCTTATTCTGGTCTCCTGCAGTCATATTTTGGGGCTGTATGTCCTGAGCCCCAATACCTTCTCTTGAGTTTCATCTCTTGCCAAAGAATAATTTTTTTTGGTATAAGTGTGTCCCATATAATATTCAGTCTAAGAATGTCCCAAATATTGTACGGGGCACATTTACATTAAAAAATTGTTTCTCTGACATTTAAATGTAACTAGATATTCTGTATTTTACCTGGCAACCCTCTACATGTGTTAGCCCAGTCAAATAAATGCAATAACATCTCTTTCTGTGCTATTATATCTTGCTCTGATATAAAATTATTTTTGCATTTTTAGGAGGTTGCTGGGAAAAAAATGTTCACCTTTACTTTAGTTCATGAAAATGGAGCTATACTAATAGAGTCTCAGAAATGATGCATTTTTGCCTAAGTCACTTATTTGGGAGTGCTTGGAAAAATATATTTTATATTCAGATGTAGTAATGACTAGTAGAAGCTGAATTCCTTTTGTTTATGGCAACTTTTTTTTTCTCATGTAAAGGAAAATAAAAAATCTCAGGACCACTCAAACTCATTATGCCTGGAGATTGAATCTGGCAACACTGCTGCCCTCTTAACCAGTAAATAGCAGTTACTTCCCAACCTTGCATCTAAGTGCCGCACATTAGCCAGAACTCTACAAAAGGCCAAGGTTCTGTGCCTCTCTAGGTGACTGCCCTCACAAGTTGCTCTTAAATAAGTTAACTCTTTCAAGATACATATGCTCCTCAAAACAAGGACATGCCTGCTGGCTGTAACCTTAGGTCTGCAATCTTAAGTCTGATTCCTTGTGTGTTATATTTCACACTGATGACGCCAATTATAAGATTATCTTTCCAGGAAAGGGCGATGTGGCTGGGGCACTGCTGGCCTCTCTCTGTTTGCCAATTTCAATTTTCGGAGTTTGTTGACGGTGATCTTGCTGCTTATATGTACCTGCGCTTATGTACCCAGCTTCCTGGACAGAAATAAAACTGGACTGTCGTGTATATTTTGGAAGTGTGCTAGAATTAGTGAGTGGAAAAGTCCTTATGTTGCAGCGTGCTATTTAGCGATGGCCTTCAGCATCCTCTTCATCCAGTAGCTTGGAAAATGCCGGAATTTAAGTGCCGTCAGATTTCCGTGTGAACAAGGACTTACCTGCAGAAAATAATGGAAAGAACACTTAATCCTTTATCCCTAGACATGGAAGGAGCTAAATCTCCAGATGCTGGTCTCTATTTGTGTGTTATTGGACCAAAGTTCTATATAAACAATGATGATATCATCATATAATACTTGGGAGTTCGGTGATCTGTAAGGATCAACCTTCGTACTGTCACTATAGAATTACATCCCGTGCGTGTCATTCTTTGTTTCAGACACCAGTTGTGAACGAGGTATCTCTAAGACACAGTAGAAAAGAAAATGGCAAATTATGCAAGTTCCTTATACTAGGATTTGGAAATGATAAATCTTTCTAGAATGAAAATAGAGATTATCTTCCCAGGTGCAGAACAAACACAAGATGAGATCAGTCATTCGTCCACCTGCCCTGAGATGTCTACAGAATGACCTCTTCCTTTACTGCCTTTTGGAATATTTGCCTTCCAACTTTTTTGGAAGATATTTACCTTATAAGGAATATATTTACCTTACATTTACCTTATCTTACCTGTAACATAGGTTTACTTGGTGCTAATTAAAATCAAGAAAATGTAGCCTGTTGCTTCACTGCCTACTCCCTTTTTTTCTGTGTGCCTCCTCCCTTTAATTAAATGCGTTCTATAAATAATTGAGCCTCCTGAAACATCTCTCAAAGGACAGGCCGCAGACGAGTCTGTGACTTATGTTCTCTTGAGCACGATCTCAACTTCTGGCTCAATAAACCTCCATTGATTGAGATTCATGCCCCAGTCTCTCTACTTGGGCACGGAAATCCAAATAGCCTCAGTTATTATTGTTTCTTTAAGATCTTTTCTAGAGGCTCGGCGCCTATGGCTCAACCGGCTAAGGCGCCAGCCACGTACACCTAAGGTGGCGGGTTCGAATCCCCAGCCCGGACCCGCCAAACAACAATGACGGCT